GTTGCTCCGGTAGTCCTAATGCAGGTTATATAAAGAATTTCTGGATTTGAAACTATCCCATGTTGAGGTTACAAGATCCCTTAACGGTCTTTACGATTAAAGGGATAAAGATCCATGACATTTTTATTGCCCCACTCAAGAAGATTATTGAGATCATGTCGCAGTTAGTCACAATCATCAGGAGATCGAATTATAAATGGGTTATTTTAAGGGCGTCGGCAAACAATAGAACAAGGCAGTTGGTAAAGCATTCGTAAAGACCTTAACCAGGAGTGGACCAATATCTGACCAACGAAGTACCTCAGATGCCATATATCTGATTTGAAATATAATTACAGTCACCTCAATTTTGATTATACTAACCAAAACTGAAATAATGTAAAGGACTTTTCATTATTGCAGTTCATACCAATCGATTGAAATATCTATAGCTCTATGTTTAAAGGGCACTGCAAAGTGAACATGAGCGCCTAATACTCCTTTGAATGAGAATTTTTGCTTTCAACAAAGTAGCGAAAAACGAAAACACCTGGGACGCAAGCCGAATTGCGAATTGCCAAAACGTTCGAAACTGTACTTATTTGAAGTCGCGATATTTTACGTCTTCATAAATGCCAACCACCGGAAAAACTTTTCAATTAGCTCGTAATTCTCCGGAGGGCAACGCGAACGAAAGTTTTCGACGTTTTCTGCACTTTTCTTCGCGTCAGCCGAAGATTACACCGAAATTGTTGCATAAGAAGTTTCCGGTTTAAAAGTTTTTCCCGATGGCGTCGTTTCTTTTTTCTGCCGATAAATGATCGACGCCGCTTTCGGCTTAATAATAACATTTATATTGAGGAAAACTGAATTTCATTTACAAAATATTTTTTATATCCGTTAACTTAGAAATTGATTCGCAAATTTTTCGATTTATCTACTTTGCTACGCATGCTTGTTTGGGTGTTTTTAAAATTTTGTCACTTGCTTGTCAACGAACTAATACTGAATAGAAGACACGAATTATCTGGATGAGTGCCACTTAGAAAAAATATCATATGCACAGTAATTAGTTATGGGTTTATTAGCTTGCTTTAGAATTGTCCAATAAAATGAGTTCAACTTTTACCCGACTAGTGAATTTTCATTTGAAGTTTGAATACAAATAAAATATTTTGTCGAAATTTTTAATATTGCCTTCAATTTCCCAGTTACAAACCGATTAAGAAGAAATGTAGTATTTCAAATTTATGGATTTACATAAAAATTACAGGAAGAATATTAAGGAGAAGGGATCTGAAGCATCTGAGTTTAAATTTGTCATCTAGAAATTATATTGACGTAATTTTACGTCGTACTTTTAGCCTTAGCCAATCAAAACAATAACCAAAAAATCTGCATTCGTTTGAACTTTTCGACGCTTGAACATCACACTCACATGTGCCAACCTTAGTGAATAAAGAGAGGTCAAAAAGAGTCAAAGAGGCACGGCAATAAGGCAAGAAACATAGGAGTTAGCTGACAAGTCGGATCTCTCACGGTTGAAGCCGGAAATCCGAAGAAAGTTGTTAAGAAACGCTCTAAAACAAGTTTTTGAGCATTAGAGGTTTCCCGACAAAGAAAATTGTAACCCTGTGTTAGGCTAAGAACCATTGGGTGCTAATCGTTTGAACGGCCTATCTTAAACATCTGTAGTATTGTAGTATTCATATTTTTTGAGTGCGTAGCGCCCAGCATTTTTTTATTTCATGCATACATTATAAACGAAACCTGAAACTCTCTCTGTCGACACAATTTACATCGAATCATCTTATGTTTTACAGTTTTTCATTTACAACTAATAATTTACCCACGAAAACGGAAATTTTTAGGATCTTTTACAATTTTTGCCCATATGCGACACACCCTGTATATAGTTCAAACAATATACGAAATAGAACTGGTCCTCCCACGTTTCTTGGTATATAAATTTTTCCAACGGTTTTCGAGAAAATACTTGCTTTCTGAAGTCATGCAGTACATTGAAACAGTAAATGACGTCATCGCGTCATTGTCTGTAAATAATCGAAGAAATGCTCGGAATGAGAGTTGTAGTACAGGATATTCCACAGTTTCTAGCTCAGGAATTTTGACGATCGGTTTAATAGGTTTTAAGAAAATAATTTTTTTATTGAAATCAAAATAACCCAAAAAATGTTTTTCAAAATTAAAAAAAAAATACTTGGCGATAATTGATGGCGCCCAGATTCAATAGTTTATATGTGGGTGTGGATTTCGACCTCCGTGCTAAATTCGAAGTCGATAACTGCAAATTTAAGACACTCGTTACATTTCTTGATATAGCACGGAATATATTGAACACCCTGTACAATAGGTGAAAACCTTAAATACCAAATTTTTAGTTATTCATGTGAGCTATATGACTATGTGAAAGAAACTGGCAACTGAAACACAGCCTTCTAGTACATTTTTGAAAATTATAAAGAATAAAGATTTTCCGAACTTAATCGACCGGATCTTCTCATTCACACATTTTTTCGATCGGTTTTTGAGAATTGATTTTTTTCTCGGAAAACTGCAAACACGATTTTTATTATTTTTTTAAAATACTTCCCGGCCCCCCAACCCCACCCAATTTCAATAGGTTCCGTTAGGGATCTACGCAAAATTTCAATTCGATAGATTCAAATTTCGGACACTTATATGGACGCCGTTGTCTGATTGCGGCCATTTTTGATTTACCTATGTGTCTTACAGACTGTTTAAAAGGGGCGAAATTAAAATTCCGTAGGCGGAGAAACAGAGAACAGAAGACAGAGAACGTAGAACAGAAAAAAAAGTTTTTTTTCGACACTCTGACCCTAGGACCAACCATTGCCGAGAGAGTATATTTTCGAAAAAATTGATTTAATCGATTTTTCGAAAGTAATAATAATATTAATAATAACATTTTCCTATTCTAACTTGGCCCTATGCTAAACAAATGGGCTTATAAAAAGCAGAAAATTGAAATAGAAAAAAGAAAAACATACTCTGTAAAAGTGATGACCTGTGGTGTATTAAGCTACGCTGTTCATAGATATGAGAATGGGTGGTCATTAACATACAATGCAACAAGATTATTACCTAAAGTTTCGGAATTTAAGTTCAGGTAAAATTGTAATTGTAATTGTAATAGAAAATAATTTTAGGAGGCTTGAAAAAGATGAAACCGGTGTTAAATGTGGCAGAGCTACCTTATGGAAGTGTATTCAACATATGGGTTTTAGATTTAAAAAAAATTACAAAAGGCAAGTTTTAATGGAATCTTTTATAATTCGGAAATTGGCGACTGGAAAATCTAGAAAAAATTTGGATTTGCAGAGAACAACAAAGGGCAATTATTTACTTGGATGAAACCTGGTTCGACACTTGATACCCCGGAAAAGGGTTGGGTTGACTCAACTGACAAGTGTAAAGCAAACGCGCCATCAAAAAGAATAACTATTTTGGATGCTGGCTATAAAGATGATTGAATTCCAAAGGGACTTTCTCTATTTGCGAAAAATGTTAAAGATTCTTCTCTGGATTCCCTTGAAGACACCACCGCTGATTTATTTGAAAGTTGGTTTAAAAACAAACTAGTTCCAAACATTCCTCCTAATAGCGTAATTGTAATGGACAAAGTTATCACAGGTGACTAAAACCCCTTCCTCATGTGACACAAAAGCAACAATCCAAAACTACATGTATAATAACCACATTTATTTTCACGAAGATTATACCAACAAGCAATTAATTGAGGTTCTGCAAAGCTTGAACCTACAAAAGGAATACGTCTGTGATAATTATGCAAAAAATCTAGGGCATACAGTTTTAAGACTTCCACCTTACCACTGTACATTTAATCCCATTGAACATGTTTGGCACTAACTGAAATCTGCCATTCGTCGTAACAATATTTTTCCCCGTGTTAACTCCAATGTCCTCAAACTTATAGAAACCGAAGTTTTTAACATCCCGCCACAAAGTTGGGCAAATTCTGTTAAACATATAGAAAAAGCAGAACATCGTATATCCATATTGCAAATAATATAGCACAAATAATAATTAGAACAGGCGATGATAGCCATAGCGATAATGATATATTATGTCAATAATTTTAAGTAATTTAAGTAGGTAATAAAAATAATTTGTCATTTTATTTTAGATTTAAACATAAATACATACATAAATAAATAAATATTGTTTAGTATCTTTCCTAACAAAACCCCAAATAATTAAATCCTAAGGTACGGACCTGTTCGGCCATATTTCATCAGTTAGTCACTTTAATGATCGTTCACATTTTGCCGTGCTGTGTAATGGTGGTGATAATTGGTGTGCATGTCTTAAATTCAGATTATGAGTATCATGCCTAAATTTTATTTTTTGTAAAAAATATAGTCGACGTTTGGAGGCGATTATTATTTGGAAGAGTCTTGCTTCTTTCATAGTGGGCCACACAATTTCTTTTGCTTTTTTAATGACATTTACAAATCTTACAAAGCTCTGAAGAAGTCAACGGGATGATTTGCAATAGATCAACATTTATCAACAGGAATCCAGAATCGATTACCGTGGGAATTATATTAAAAAAAAAACGAAATAAATGATTTAAAAAACATTTTTGTAGGCGATATAAGTATTTCTTTCAGCATAGTCCGACATTTAGATTTACTTTATCGTTTACCGTTTTGTGGATTATCATATAAATTTGAACTTTAATTAAACTACTACTAAAAATTAGGTTTCGGTTAGTTTTGGTTAATATTTGATTCTTTTTTGCCCATACTGGAATACCGAATTAAAGTTATTTGTTAACAAATGAGTAGAGGTTTATCTAAAGTAAGGATATTTCTGCTGACATTCGCAGTTTTTAAATGTTTGTTGCCGTACAATATTATCGGGTTCTCTCTTCCTTCGTTTAATATACAATAATTTTAATATGTATAATGGCATTCGATATTTAAAAGTTGACTTAAATTTCGGTTTCAACTTACACATCACGTCCAGTCTGACTTCGATGCTGCTCGACTTCGTCGAATATGATTCGTGCACTGCGACGCATCGTAGCATACTTCCGTGATTGTCTTTAGATATCGTTTGTTCCAAAACTGAAACTGCCAACCAAGTTCTCGGGTTGTCCAACTCGGTAGTGTTTGTCTGACGCTTCGGAGTTATCTCGTGCTGGTCTGAAAAGAAATCGATCTTTTACATTCGCAGATAAAGTTGGCGTTGCAGTCAATTCTTGGCGTTTTATCAGTTCCGCAAATATTATTTTACACAGGGTGTAAATGACACCATATAATAAAATTTAATTGAGTGGGCTATTTAACTAAAATATTTGCAAATTGGTGTGCGGAAAATTAAGGGGTTCTATTTGATACGTGCTTCAGATTGCGAAACCATGTGGCAATGCTGTTGGAAAAATGTGATTTTAAACTAAAGTTTATATATATATATATATATATATATATATATATATATATATATATATATATATATATATAAGTGTTCGAAGTGTTTTCGGAACGCGAGCATTGAAGATGCCAAGTGAGATTTTGGCGAAACGTCTGCAGGATTCCAGTCGGATGCAAGATTTGCAGGATTCCAGTCGGATGCAGGATTCCAGTCGGAGTTCAACGAGCGAACGGATGATATCCCGGAATATAGTGTCATCATATATATATATATATATATATATATATATATATATATATATATATATATATATATATATATATATATATATATATATATATATATATATATATATATATATAATCTACCAGGACAAGATGTCAGGCCAAGACTGTATGTCTCACTCATTCTCTTATCTCTGGGTTATTGTGGCGTAGTGTCGTCAAGACGGATCGTAATAAATTTCAAAAATCTTGTTTAGTTTTGTTTTAGTTAACGTTAGCTTAGAAAAAAAAATATGCCATATATCCTGCTTAACACATATAATTTTAATAATAGGATTAAGGGTTCAAACATCCTCACAATGTGTTAATATATTGATAATGCTGTAATCATTTATAACTCTCTATCTATCAGACCATCGGTATCCTCGTTTAAAACGACTCTTCGCAAATACCTGTCAGATTGGAGCCAGAGTACAACTAGTTTAATTTTTTGGTTACATACTTACAAGCTGTGCATTGTAATCGTTTAAACAGTTATCTTTTGTTCTCAGTTAACAGCATTTCGAATCGAATCGAATGTTCCATATACATGTGGTTAAACAGAATAGCATTGCGTTGGATCTCACCACCTACTCACTTATTATTTTGTTATAAGATTTGATAAAATTGAAATAAAGGCATTATTTATTAATATATTAATTTAATGACTGAATCTCTTGATCGACGATCGAGAGCTTCATAAGTTCAAATATGAAAAAAATTGACTTATTATTTTTATTACTAACACCACAAAGGAATGCTAATTACTAATCAAATAAATTCATATCCCAAAAAATGATTTGTTAAACTATTGTTGTTAACAACAACGATGAGGGAAAAATTATACAAAATACAAGATAATTGCAAGAATATGCATTATGACAGCAAACAGTTACGAGGTTAGCGCTAAAATTTCCCGGCCTGACATAGATGCAACTCCAGTATTACTATAAAACTTTGTCTTCTTTTAAATATATATTTTAGTAGGCTGCGAAAAAAAAATTGAAGTCTTGCGTCAAATAGTTTTTTATTGACATCATTTTAAACAAGACGTGTCCGAAAAAATGTCGCAAATAACGCAAATTGAGTATAGAGTATAAAATTATTAAAGAAGTCAAAGTTCTTCTTCGTATTCTGTAATGAAAGAATGGGTAAAAAGTTTTCGACTCTGGCAGGAGTCCCTTGAAGATCATAAGAAGGTCATAACGGAAGATATTGTTGCCATTGTGAAAGAGGTGGTATTGAGTGATCGACGTTTAAACGTCAAGGAAATCTCAGAAATTACTAAGCTTTCTGATACAAGTGTCCGTCAAATCCTGCATGATCATTTAGGTATGCATAATGTTAGTGCTAGATGGGTTCCCAAAAACCTTTCGGCTATAAAAAAAAAACGCCGTGTCAAGTGTGCGCGGTCTTTTTTAGAACTCTGTGGGTCGGAACCGAAGCCTGTGATACAAACTATTGCGACGAGAAACTATGGTTCTCTATTATGACCCTCTATCGAAAAAAGAATCAATGCAGTGGCGTCGTAAGGATGAAGCACCTCTAAGAAAATTCAGAGTCTGCCAGTCAACAAAAAAGGTGATGACCACGATCTTTTGGGCTGTTGAAGGAATTCTTTTGATAGATTTTAAAGAAACTAACACTGTCAGCTGCCATTTTAGTGTGTGGGTTCCAATAAATAGATCATCCTCCCTATAGCCCAGATATGGCCCCTCCGACTATTATTTGTTTGGATATTTGAAAAAGGACCTACGTGGAAGGCGGTTTAACGTCGAAGTTGAGTTAAAAGAGGCTGTTTTAGTTCATTTTGCAGACAAACCAAAAGAATATTTTTTTAAAGGGATTGAGTGGTTAATAAAGAGATGTAATAAGTGTATTGAAGTTAAGGGGGATTATATTGAAAAATAATAAAAAATTGTTACCCTACTTTGTTTCTTTCATATTCAGGCCGGGAAATTTTGGCGCTGCCCTCGTATAACCAAGATTGTAGCATATTTTGTTCGATTTCTGAGTTCATTATATATGTCGTAGTCGTATTGTAAAATCAGTCATATTATAATATGCCTAGGCTTTTTCAATAACAATAATAAATAAAAATAATTAAATAATTGAGAATCGCACAATCTGACTGTATAATAATACGTCTGTTGCTGATTAGACTTATTCTCAAAATTCAAATGTGCGCGATTGCTTTGAATTCTGGCTGGTTATATTCGTTGTATTGTAATACGAACGAAGGCTTGTCAGGCGAATTGCCTGTTGTTGTTGAAATTAAGCATTTAATTGCTCTGTACAATATTCGTGAAAATTATTTCAATTGAAAATGAGTGGCGACTTGACAAAAAAACAATTATTATGAAGAACTAGAAAAGTTTTACAAAGGAGAGAAATTGTAGTAAAGAAAGGAATATTTCCATAACATCAAAACAGTGATATGTGATATATCTGAATATAGTTAGTTACAGTTACTTTTGGTTAGCTTGATCTGCAGGTCCTTCGCCAAAAAAAACCAAAAAATCCAAATAATGTCATAGGTGGCCCACAAATAAATAAATAACACTGAAGGCGGCATAATACTATCCTACGAACTAGAAGTACAATACAATGGAATGCGCGAATTTCGCAGCAGAAACTTGTTCGTTTTGGTTGGCAATATATTCTGATGATTCTGATGTAGAGGATGTGGACAAAAATATCTTAGGAACCATAGTAGATATCTCCAATGAAGTTTACCAAATTACCCATACATGAATTGTTAAATCGATGGTTTTAGAGGGATAAAATGACTGAAAATAAATAAGAACTAAAAGTTCATATTTTCACTAAATTATATATTATGACATGACAATTGTTTCGACAACACCGTGTCTTTATCATCATGATAAAGACACGGTGTTGTCGAAACAATTGTCGTGTCATAATATATAATTTCGTGAAAATCTGAACTTTTAGTTCTTATTTATTTTGATAAATGGATTTTCATCAAGTAAAAGCCACCTCAGTTCAATAAAATGGCTGATTGCTAAAGTAATGAAGTAATTAATATTCCAAAGAATAAAATAATTTGTTTAAGATTTTTTTAAAAATTCTGAAGACAAGGATTCAAAAAATGTTCTTGCAAACTAAGCAAATCACATTATTCTAAAAATAAATATCTATGTTTTAAAGTTTTAAAAGTTAAAAGTTTTAATGTTAAAAAGTTAAAGCTAAAACACACGGCATTTAATAATAAAAATAATAATAATCGACTTTATTCGAAGAATAAATATACAAACAAACAATTATTACAAATTATTACTTCCAAATCAGTGCGCTAATATCCCGTAAATGTTCGAAAAATTTTAATTTATATTAAATGTTGACAAGGCAGATAGTTTAAGGTATTCAGGAGGACTGTTTTCATTATGTGATTATTCATTTTTATTAATAATCTATTGTAATATGAAACTAATTTTTCAAAAGAAACTTTTTTGAAAACCTTCAATTTTGTATAGCGTATACCGTATCTCAAAATTTTTAACAATCTTTGATATATTTATAAATGATGTGACGTGCAGTGGCGATTCTAGTCGGAATTATAATTTTCAATAATTAATAATTTTTGTAGTTATTTTATAATTGCAACGGGTTTCGGAACTAAACAAATAATTGGAATGGGACATTACACGCATCGGTAATTTCGTAAACTAAAACAACATGATCGTCTAACAGACGAATCCGGAACGTATGCAGTAGGATTCGGATTCAAACTTTCGGTCGTCCTGTGGGATAATCGCTCATCTTTTATGCATAAAGCCCGTGCAAACCAAGCCCCGACAGGTGTCTCTACTTGAATGAATCGTTCGATCGGAACTTGTATTTTTAAAACCTGAATGGAATGTTTTATGCAATTATGTAAAACTTTAAGGCCGATTTGCATTTAATAAGGCCCCCTACGTTACGGAAAATTGCCGGGGGATAGAACAGGAGTGAAAGATTTGGTTCGATAAGGTGAAATAATTGAAACAAAATACCTGGTTGCGAGAAAATTGTGCACTGGCGCTGCATACAAATATACCAGCAAAATTATCGATTTGCGTAATATTTTCTTAAATTTTTATCGTAAACATTTTCTCTGTTTTATTTTCCATTTTTATTATTAATCTAGCCCAGACAAAAAGTTGTCTAGAAAAAGAGGTCTTAAGCGTTTTCATTTTTCTTTTAATTTGCAAGCCTCGTCTATCCTTGACACTTTACTTTTTTAATTCACTTCAATTTATTTATTACTGTACTTACCAATAATTTAGTACTGTACTACCAATAAAACTTTGATTTGACAGCATTTAAAAGATTAATTAGTATTGTGCCATCAGTTCATTAGCCACCTTGGTCGTTCCGACTATAAAAATCCATGAAAAATGCCAGCTAATATTTGTTTTAAAAAATTGTAGATAGCAAAAGTGAGGCAAAACAGAAAATGGTAAGAAAAATAAAATAAAAAATAATATATTTTTTTTAGTTTTCGT